CCCCAAAAAAAAAAACCTTCAAAACCACACTGAGCTTATGCTGGTAAAGGTTCCAATTCATTCCTCTTCAAACACAGCTCCTCTTTCATCAGACAATAAAACCAGGAAATAAAAATTCACAAAGTAGAACTAGTAAAACAACTAACTCACCTGGAAAATGTAACCAAAAAAAGCCTATTTATTACAACCTGCAGTTAAATTTTGCATCTTTACAAATTACTACCACAACTATGTTTTATGTAAATTCAGAATATCTATACATAACTGGTGGAGAAATTAGGATTTATTACCTGATTGCAGTTCCAGGAATGTATCAAACTGAGGTAACAGAGGTATATATATATACATATAAAAAGGTTCAAAAGGTCGTATACGTTGGGGTCTAATCAGTTAAGTTGTATTTTTGTGTGCGCTCTTAAGTTTAAGTATATAATTATATATATAAAGGTTCAAAAGATCGTATAGGTTGAGGTCTAATCAGTTAGGCTGTATTCTTGTGTGCTCTTAAATTAAAGTATATAATTGATTAAAGAAAAGGAGACGACTAAAAGAGAAACGAAAAGTCGTGCTAATAATCTATTAGTATTCCTCTTTATTTACTGTTTATAAAGTTTTCCTTTGACTTGCTCAGCTTTAACTGGAGTTGAGAGATCAATAGTTGTGAGTTATTTCATTCACATTAGGGTCTAGGGAACTCTTGAAATTTAACATTTTCATTTTACCTTTAATACAGCACGTGACGACAAAAGTATTTTTGTATGTTATACATCTTTTCCTTATATGTCAAAAGTCGATTTTTCTTTCTTAAATTCCAACTCAAATACTAGTACAAAAGAAACAAACAACAACAAAAAAAAAACTTAATGAGATCTCACACGTAGGGTTCGGGAGGTTAATGTGTATGCATACCTTACCCTTACCTTAGGAAGGAAAAGAGGTTATTTCTGATAGACTCTCGGCTCAAGAACTATAAAAGAAGCAGACAAGAGTATTATTTTTTTTACAAAAATTATGTGGTATATTGTAGACAGTATTGGCCGGTTAAGAACTCTCATATCCAAAAGATGAAAGTAGTAGAAATGAGGATGTTGATGTGGATGTGCGGGCACACTAGGATGGATAAGATATTCGGGAGAAGGTGGGCGTGACTCCTGTGGATGAGAAGATGCAGGAAGCGAGGTTCAGATGGTTCGGGCACGTGCGAAGAAGAAGCCATGATGCTCCGGTGATGAGGTGTGAGCGGTTGGCTTTGGCAGGCACGAGAAGAGGTAGAGGGCGGAAGAAGTATTGGAGAGAGGTGATCAGGCAGGACGTGGTCGAGCATTAGGGTTGTAGACTAGGAGTTAGTCGAGCTTTTTTCTACTTCGAATCGGGGGTAAAGCTAGTTTGATAGGGTTGATCTTAGACGGCTAGTGGTTAATGTTGTGTTCATACTATCTTGTTGTTTTTCATAGTATCGGGCCTTAATTACTGGTTATTGTTATTGCATGATATCTATTTTCTAGTTCTTATGATACTGTTATTATTTCTATGATTTCGTTTGACGGTACTGATATATAGTCTCTTCTCGTCTTTTTCGTCTTTTTGAGCCGAGGGTCTATAGTTGGAAACAGTCTCTCTGCCCCATCGGAATAGGGGTAAGGTCTGCGTACACACTACCCTCCCCAAACCCCACTTGTAAAATTTTACTGAATTATCGTTGTTGTTATTGTTGTTGAGCATTTTTAGTTCATTATAGTATATCTTATTATATGTCAAATGCTATACTTTCTTTTTTAAACTTCATATTCATTCAAACACTACAATATAAGATAAGAGAGAGGAAAAGGAAGCAGTAGTCCTATTTTTCAATCACATTACCATCCTCAGTTTCACTTATTTATCTTCAAAGTCAGTTTATTTATTCAATGTTGATGTTAGATTATGCTCGATAATTACTTTCTCTGCCTAAAATTTTCAAGTCTTGTGTTTTGACAAACACTTTTGAAGCTTGTAAGCACACAGCTATCTTGCTCTCTTCATCTGTTTTTAAGTACAAGCATTCGGAAATAGTATCTTTACCTTTATAAGGTAGATATAAGGTCTGCGTATACATTATCCTCCCCAAACTTATGAGTTTGTTGTTGTTGTTGTTATTATCTACGAGCATTAATTCAAGATCAGTTCAAAAACAAGAATCAAATGCTTAAATTTTGCAAGAAATTTTACAAAAAATCTATGCACTCTGAGTTTCCTCACCTTGATTTTGGAGATTCATTAATCCTTTTAGTCAACCAAATTGTTGTTTCTCTAGAAGAAACAGCTTCTTCTCTAAATGCTTTTAGCACACCAGCTAATTCCTCTATCTTTTCATGCTTAAGTAACTATGCCCAAAGTTCAAGCAACGACTCTGGTGCTTCTGCCCTTTCATTGCTCATACTAATTCCCACATTGTTCTTCCCTTGTACCAAATTCAGTGTAGTCATTACTGAAGTCTTTCTCGCTCAGAAGCGGATTTAGGATTTGATGGCTACGAGCGCCACTATATTTGATGCAAATCTACCACTAACGAAGGAAATTGAATTAGAATATATATTTGGCCGATTCGCTCTTTCTTGAATTAATTCAATTCGGGTCCATTTTAAATTATTTTTTTGTTCCACAAGATTTTTGATGCATATTTGTCATGACCCGGAATCCCAGCATCGGTGTTATGATGGCGCCTAACATCTACTTGCTATGCAAGCCGACGTAAATAGAAAATTACTGATTTTAACAATTTATGACAAGATATTAACAATGAAAACGACATAAGTCTGATGTATAGTATAATAATACTGAACAACGAGTCTAAACATAACCCAGAAACTGGTGTCACGAGTACATGAACATCTAGAGTACTACAAACATGGTCTGAATAACATACACTATTTTAAGATAGGAGGGAAGAGGACTTCAGGGCTACGAACGATGTGCAATTGTACCTCAAGTCTCCGTCAACAACTGGATCCAAGCAAAAACCACCGAACGCCACTAGGACCAACTCCAGTATCTGTACAAGAAGTGCAGAATGTAGTATTAGTACAACCGACCGCATGTACTCTGTAAGTGCCGAGTCTAACCTCGATGAAATAGTGACGAGGCTAAAGCGGACCACTTACAATAACCTGTACAAAGTAATAATAATAATAATAATAATAATAATAATAATAATAATAATAATAATAATAACAGGAAAAGAAAATAGGAAATGAAAATAAAACAGTTAGTTTATGAAAATAAACTCAAACCTCACTATCAGAAAGCTAGGATAACAACCGTGTAATCTCATATAAAGATACTGAAACTAACACAACAACAACAAGTACAATACACACAATCCGTTGCGGCGCGCAACCTGATCCCACTGTAACATCCTTTATCAATATCTAGTATCACGTTTACAATCCGTTGCGGCGCGCAACCCGATCCCACCTTATCATTATTTATCAATATCAAGTATCCTCCCTTATCCACCATGGTATCATTAATCAACATCAAGTATCACATATACGATCCGTTGCGGCGTCAACCCGGTACCACCATATCATCATTTTTCAATATCAAGTATCCTCTTTTTTTCCATTGTTTCAATTCATCATCTTTCAATTTCCGTTGCGGCATGTAAGCTGATCCCCCAATCAATTTCAGATAACATAAACAATCCAATAACTCAATTTACAAGGATTTCTACAATCAAAGAGTATGAGTGCTAGGCAATAAAGGAACCATGTAATAATCAAAGGAATACAACAAATATTACAAAAAAATTAACAGGACAAGTAAAGCATGTAACAATTAAGGTGTGTGAGTAAAACAGTCAAGGCAAGTAGCAAATAAGCACGGAGTCATCGAAAGGACGAACAATTCAATACAAGAATAACTAAATAACAAATAACAAATTACGGCATAGAGGTCAAATAAAGCATGTAACAATTAAGGCATGACATGAGCTAATTCATGAAATAACGAGAAAACATGGAAACAAATATCATGATGGCGTATATACACTCGCCAGCTCGCATATACGCCGTTTTCTCAAATAATCCACATAACACATAGTTCACAAATTCCTAATTCCCTTAAGTCAAGATTAGATCCAATACTTACCTCGTTCTGCAATCAAATAAAATCTCAACCGGGATATTTTCTCTAAAATTTACCTCCAAACCAATCGAATCTAACAAAATATAGTTCAAACAATTCAAAATAAGCTTTAGAAACTACCCACTAGTGAAAAAGATACAATCTTTAATGATTTTGAAAAAAGTCAACAAAATTCAATCCCGAGCCCACTTGGTCAAAACCAGAAATTCGGACCAAAGCCCAATTACTCATTCACCCCCCGAGCCCGATTATATGATAAGTTTCGAAATCCAACCTCAATTTGAGGTCTAAATCTCAATTTATTAATATCCCCAATTTCTATCTAACTCCCTAATTTCTATCATGAAAAAGCATAGATTAAATGTTAGAAATCAATGGATGTTTATGGAAATGGAAGAAAACAAGTTAAAATCTACTAACCTATGAAGTTGGGATGAAATTTATCTTCAAAATCTGTCACGTCCCAAAATCCAACTAGTCGTGATAGCACCTAATACAACCCACTAGGTAAGCCAATTAACTACAATCCAATTTAATTAGATTTATCGAGAAAAATAAATGATAAAATAACTAAAGCTTTCAACTTTTCACGAACTGGTAGTACAAATCATGAGCTTCCAAGATTTAGAATTTTTAAAACTGACATAAAATAAAATACATTTGTTGCAACAAATGCGAACAGATTAAAAATTTCCAAAGCTACCTAGGACAAGAGGCAGTTGTAACTGCATCGCAGATACATTTTCAATGTCAGCTCCCGTTATACACAGCAACATCAGCATCCAAAATCTGCACGCAAGATGTAGAAGTTTAGTATGAGTACAACCGACCCCAAGTACTCAGTAAATATTTTGTCTAACCTCGTCGAAGTAGTGACGAGAATTTTTAGTTAAAAAAATATTCACCGTTACAACCTGTGCAGTAGACTAACTATAGAAATAGTTATAGAACATGACATATAAGGTGCAATAAAACAACTTTGTGCGGCAGTAAATGATTAGTAGGAGAAATCGCAGTAGTAAATTCATAATTTTTCTGGTGTGAGTAATATATTCAAGATGCCAAATCGAATGGCACGGTAATACCTTCGTGCACTTATCTCATTCTCACCTAATATATGTTTGTAGATCAAATCAATTGGAATGACAACACCCTTCGTGCACTTATCTATTTCTCACCGAGCATACATATAACAGTACCAACTAGGTGGGAAAAATACCTTTAACAATTATAATAAAGTGAAAAATACACATGTAGCAAT